GTAACCAAACGTTGCCTTGTCTCTTTTTCTATTGGTAACAGGTACCAAGATGAAGTATGGTGTGATGTTATTCCTATGGATGCTTGTCACTTGTTACTTGGTCGCCCTTGGCAATTTGATCGAAAGGCTATCCATGACGGCCATGCCAACACCTACTTGTTTGTGAAAGATGGTGTGAAGGTCAAGCTCACTCCCCTGAAGCCTGAAGAAACAATTGAAAAGAAGGATGAGGACAAGGCTTTAATCTCCATATCAACCTTTCAGAAGTTGCACCAAGAGTCGGGAACAACATGTCTCCTACTGTTATCCAAAGTAAATGATGCCACTTGCCCTTTTCCAGAAGAAATCCGGTCTCTCCTTGAAGAATTTTCTGATGTTGTTCCTGACGAGATCCCTCCTGGATTACCACCAATGAGAGACATTCAACATGCCATTGATTTCATTCGAGGATCTATCATCCCAAACAAGCCTGCTTATCAGATGAACCCTCAAGAGTATGCGGAACTTCAACCACAAGTCAAAGAACTGATGGAGAAAGGACTTGTCAAGGAAAGTGTTAGCCCATGTGCCATGCCTGTGCTACTCATCCCAAAGAAAGACGGAACTTGGAGGATGTGTGTAGATAGTCGAGCAGTCAACAAAATCACTATCAAGTACCGCTTCCTAATTCCACGTCTTAATGATATGCTTGATCAACTGCATGGAGCTACTGTTTTCTCAAAGATTGATTTGAGAAGTGGATATCACCAGATTCGAATGCGTCCCGATGATGAATGGAAGACAGCATTCAAAACTAGAGATGGTTTGTACGAGTGGACGGTCATGCCATTCGGATTGTCTAATGCTCCCAGCACTTTCATGCGCCTTATGAACTAGGTATTTCGACCCTTCATTGGGAAATTTGTTGTGGTTTACTTTGATGATATCTTGGTATATAGCAAGAATGAACAGGAGCACCTAGACCATCTCCAGCAAGTTTTTGAAGTCCTTAGAAAGCAGAAACTTTATGCTAATCTCAAGAAATGTTCATTCCTCACTACAAGTGTGACATTTCTTGGATACATCATCACTGCTCAAGGTATTAAGATGGACCCCAGTAAGATTGATGTTATTGTCAACTGGCCTACACCAACATCGATGCATGATGTTCGAAGCTTCCATGGCCTGGCATCTTTTTACAGGAGATTCATCAAGAATTTTAGTTCTATTGTTGCCCCAATCACTGACAGCCTTAAGGGTGACAAATTTTCATGGAGCGGCAAAGCCCAACAGAGTTTTGAAGAATTAAAGAGAAAGCTCACTGAAACCTCTATACTTGCACTTCCCAACTTTAACCTGATGTTTGAAGTAGATTGTGATGCTTCTAATGTTGGAATTGGTGCAGTGTTAAGTCAAGAAGGTCGACCCATTGCCTTCTTCAATGAAAAGTTGAATGACACAAAGCTCAGATATTCCACCTATGACAAAGAATTCTATGCAATTGTTTGAGTCTTGGAGCATTGGAGTCATTATCTTCTTTCAAAAGAATTCATCTTGCACTTTGACCACTAGGTATTGAAGCACCTGAATTCCCAACAGAAGATCAGTCGTCGACATGCTGCTTGGAGTGAATTTCTACAAGCTTATCCTTTCCTCCTCAAATATAAATCTGGAGTCCAGAATCGTGTAGCTGATGCTCTGAGTCGCCAACATGCCTTGCTTACTTCCTTACAAATGAAAGTCACTGGATTTGAAGTGATCAAGGAGTTGTATGAGGATGATCATGATTTTAGCAACATTTGGCAAGCCACTTCTAATCAAGCCTTTCAGCAATATCATCGCCAGCAAGATTACCTCTTCAAGGGTAACCGACTATGTGTTCCACGTTGCTCACTCCGAGATTCAATTATCTGGGAAGTACATAATGGTGGATTAGCTGGTCATTTTGGGAGAGACAAGACTTTAGCTCTTGTTAAAGAAAGTTTTTACTGGCCAAAATTGGAGCAGAATGTCATTCGTCACATTCAAAGATGCAAAGTTTGTCACCGAGCCAAGACAATCAATCAAAACACAGGGTTGTATCTGCCATTGCCTATCCCAACTTCACCTTGGGAAGATGTTAGTATGGATTTTGTCCTTGGTCTACCACAAACTCAACGAAGCAAGGATTCTATCATGGTCGTGGTTGACAGATTTTCTAAAATGGCTCACTTTATTGCTTGTTAGAAAACTAATGATGCTTTTCTCAATGCTGAGTTATATTTTAGAGAGATTGTGCGTCTGCATGGAGTTCCAAAGACCATCACTTCAGATAGAGATGTGAAGTTCATGAGTCATTTTTGGAGGACCTTATGGAGAAAGATGGGCACTCAACTCCAGTTTAGTTCTGCTAGCCATCCTCAAACCGATGGGCAAACTGA